TTTGCTTGTGCCATGACGCAATGGGCGCAGTAGCAGGCTAGCAGCTAGCTAGCACTACTGTCGGGCACCAATATTATATCAAGAAACATAAAGAGTAGGAGTTAATAATCATCAACATTAATTTATTCGAGCAGTTAAGAACGTGACTACAGCTCCAACCGACCCCAGGTACGTGGGCTCCGCCTCGCCCGGCCTCTGGGTCGGGGGCTCCATCTTGCCCGACCCGCGGTTCAACACTCTACACGGATGTAAACATCAAAACACACGCCCTAACACGCCTTACGAGCACACGCACATCAGAGACTTGGGACATGTCCCTCTCTCGCTCGTTTGTAACCCCTACTACAAACTTTCAGTGCTAGTAACACGAGCAGCAGCGACGAACTGGATGTAGGGACTTTCTGCTCGAACCAGTATAAACCTCGTGTCCTCTAAGCACACCATCCGAGCCAGACACACGATACTATAAATTTACTAGTGGTGGGTAACTTGAAACACCGACAACTACTGTTGTAAAAAAAATAGCTAGCTACTACGAGTAGCTTAATTAGTAGTAGTAATCCTGTTCACCTAAACCCAGACAGGATGCTGCTTCGTTCCAATAATCCCCTGTGATCCTGTGAAGTGCGAACCACTCCACTCCAGTGCTGATTGCTCAAACTCATCAGCCAGCAGGCGGCCTTGCTTTGGTCGCAAGCCACCATCCTCATCCCAATCAGTCACGACGACGACATTACGAGGCCGGGTTTTCCGGGGTGATTGCCTACATACGCAAATTAAACCGGCATCAGTCAGTCCAATGCAGCTAGTAATTACACGGCCACACTTTGCTTTGACAGCAGGGTCAGACACGGGCCGAAGCAGTATAGTTTCAGTATACACACACACCGGGCCCTCAGCTTTGTAGAACTTTCTGTGATACGGGTACGTACGTGACAGCGTTTTCTCACGGTGAATGCATGCGTAGCAGATCTCGATTTGAACGGCTGTGCGTTGCGCTAGCACACTGGAGACTGCAGCGCAGCAGCGCAGGGGTACGGAACGGGCGGGGCGTCACTGTGGGGGAGTAATGGGCCGGCCGGGACGCCTGGGCGGGGGCAGCCCAGTACGGAACGGTCGTCGTGTGCGTGCCCCGCTCCGCTCCGCCATCCACGGCCACGATGAGTAATGGCAGTGGCATGGGAGGGCGCTGCCTGTGCCTGTGCCTGTGCCGTGCCGTGCCGCCGAGATGCATGTCGATCGGCCAGCGCGATGGCGTTCAGGGCTTGAGGGTCCTTCGCGGAATCACGGTCACGCTCGGCGTCGCGCCCTCACGTGCCGTCACGGCCCCGTGCCGCGCATCATTGGCCACACGCGGGTGTCGGCCTGCTGCATGGTTCATGAGACGTGTGTGCTGCTGCCTGGTGATTTTTTTTTAATCTGCCTGGTGAAAATTACTATTAGTACTTTGCTCCTGCTGTCCTGCAGCCTGCTGCAATGCAACTCAGCAGCCGCCAAATGGTCTTGCACAGTTGGACTCTCCATCTTGGTGAATGGTGAATTGGATTTACATTTTTGGTACATTTTTTAATTTTCATTGTAAGAGCCAAAAGGTCATATATAAGATTAAGAGAATAGGACCACCGACAGGCATCATCAGCATAAAAAAATCAAGGGCTAAACAAACTGCGACCGTCGTAAAAAATCTAGGGCAGTTGGGCTTGCGCCCCGACAAACGCATACATGGAGTACTCCTCATGGAGTCATGCATGGCTCGCGAGAGCCGCACTGTTTTATTATTATTATTATTAGTTTTTTTTTTGCCAAAGAAAGATATACACGTTTCTAGAGAGGAACAGAGGAAGGTGATTACCATACTTGTGATTTTTATTTTATATCTAAAATACGAATTTATCACTATTTTTATGATAATGAATGTATATATACCTGTTATTTTTCTAAGTGAATCTGTTTTCCTATTGAGTTAATTAATGTATAAATGTAACTTTCTTTTTTTAGCAAATATAAATGTAATTTTCTAAAGCGAAGATGTGCACATCACAAAATGGGCTTGCAATCTTCTTCCCAAGGTGAAAACACGAAGCCCGCTCTGCTGTGTTCGCATGATAGCTGGGCTGCGCCAAAGGATCTAGCCAGCCCACACGGGCGTGGCGTCGTCGTTGCGGCTTGTGGCTGCGGGGAAGAAAGGGACCGAGCGACGAACTGAGAATTTAGTACCAGACCGGCCAGCGAACAGAGAAAACATCAGCTTATAAGCTCAGCTGCGGCCACCTCTATGTCTCTTCGGAGACATCTGATAAAATTGGAACGATACAGAGAAGATTAGCATGGCCCCTGCGCAAGGATGACACGCACAAATCGAGAAATGGTCCAAATTTTTTTGAGATTTTACACGTTGGTCCCTGACCGCTTTGAAATTGACTTACAGGTATACCCCTGGCTGTGTATTCTCCCTTTCGCATATGCCCCTGAAACATTGTTTCTAGGCCCTCCTGACTTCTGATGTCCTACATTAAGGTCCAAAACCTTTTTGCGCATTTACATACCACTCCCTTGTCGCTGTTTTATCTTGCAGATATGCTCTCAATCCCTCTTTTTTTGGCAGCTATTCAGTACATTCACCCCCCGGTCCTTGAGTGCATGTTTTTCCTTGCACATATGCCCCCTTAACCTTTCCGTTTACCTTGTGTTTCCATATAGCTGTAGACCCTATGGTTTTCTAACCCTACTTTATCTTTTTTTTAATCGGGATGACATCCTTTCGAATATGTATTAGGAGTAATATAATCAGAAAAAAAATGCAACCTGGCTGATTCTCTCGTGGTCCTTGCAGTAGTTCTTCAATCGGTCAAAAAAAATCTCCATTAAAGCATTGAATCCTTTGATTTGGACACGCCTTACTCAAAGTATGCTACGTTTTTTCATGAACAAATACACATTTAACTTTTCACTACATGAATCTGGCAAGAGTTTTTTCAAAATTAACATTCTTCTCAAAATTCCCTCAAAACTCAGTTTTATTTACATGGTTATGCTCAAAATCTTGTATTCAATTCACTCAACTAACGAGACTTACTGATAACTAGGTTACCTTTTTTTCTCTTTTTGGTTTACCAAGCCAAGGCTGTTTCATTTACCGGCAAAGGAAAAAAAAAAAGTCGCCAGATCATATATAAACATGCGCAATTTCCCTTCAGTAAAAATACACGGCGTCATTGGTAAATTACAAAATCAAGCTTCGCCTTTTATTCGATGTATGGTAGCTATGCCGACTCTCAAGTTCACCAGCATCCACCAAACAACTAACATCCTCTCGTAGTATACACAAGTCACCTATATCATCAACGTGTTACATGATTCCAGTCAAAATTTTCACAATCTCGAACGCCGTACACATTTCATCGGATTGAAGCTATCATGCCGATGCGCAACGGTATGGATGTGCTGTGCTTCCCATTCATCGACGCATAAGGCTTGAGGACCCAACCATCTACATTCTTTGGGGACGTTAAACAGCTTCGGTTGCAGTCCATCACTGCTTTCATTGTACTACATGGAGCTCGGTATTAAAAAACTGGTCGGTTGGATCGCCGGTGTTCGTCTCTGTCTACCAACAGAGGTTGCAACAGAGCTCACTTGTGCCCACATCATGTGCATTAAGTTGCCTTCTGCTCATGTAGAGCACTGAGGGTTTTTTCCTTTTAAGTAGCTTGTCACAGTCACAGCAGCTCGGTATTCCTCAGGATGATACTTATGTCATGTCGGGCTGTTCGGTTGATGGTTTCTGCGGCTAATAAGCCGGCTGAAGCTGATTTATTATGAGAGAAAAACACTGTTCCAAAGCTGATAAACCAGACCGATAAGTTAAAGCGTATAAGTGTATACTCATCAGTTTCATATGGCTCAAAGCTATCCCTATGAACAAATTTTATGTACACAACATCAGAAAAGTGTAATGAGCTGAATTTTTAAGATCCCTTGTGATATGGGATCGATCACAACATCAGAAAAGTGTAATGAGCTGAATTTTTAAGATCCCTTGTGATATGAGATCGATCAGACGTGCATGCATTCGCAGCATTCCTCTAGAAAGGTGAGGACCCTGACAAGGTTAGTGGTGGGCATTGCCTAATCAAATGTCCGGTGACCTGCAAGCCCAAGGGATAGGAAGAGGTGATTTGGACATCTTATATATGTTTAGAACGTTTTGCAAGGGCTTCAAGATTATATTGGATGTGGTTCAAGTGGAAAAACAAAGAAAGAGCTTGGTCTGGAATAGATATCTACTGTGACATGCTTCATGCAAGCGGGTTAGCCCGCGAACCAGTACGTACACTGTGAATTGTGATGCCACTGATACTGCGCATATCACATGACCTAGAGATGGCAACAAGCCATAAAGCGTATCCAGAGACCAGAGTGAGCCCAAAACGCTGAAGAAATCAAAACAACAGCAACACAAACGAATGCTCAAGCAAACTTTGACCGAGGTTGCTCAACCGGAAACCCTTATCGCCAATCGGCCACTTGTACATTTCGAAACGGAGTGCTGTCATCTCAGGGGGCAAAAAAAGGCACAATTATTCACTGCCTTTTCGCCTGTATACTTCCCGACCTCTACTATAATGTTACAAATTGGACAACAGGCACCGCCTCATCCGAAACATTATCATCTCCAATAAGATTAGAACCTGTACAGAGCTACCCTACCCTTTTACAACAACTCACTGGGGGTCAAATGATTAAATGGAGGACCTAGGTGACGTTTCGCCTCCCTCCTGCAACCGCCGCTGCCGCCGCTTTGTGTTATTCTTCTCTGACGACAAACCAATGATTTGTTACCTCTTCAGTGGATCCCGTGCTCCGCTTGTGGTGAGCTACAAATGTCTGTCAGCGTACCAGAAGCTTGAGAATTAGGCCCGGGGAAGCAGTGTTGAACTCATGCCTCTTGTCACAGATCACAGTACTAAGGCAAACTATGTCAACGCCTACTGCTGCACTCATAGCTGCAAAGCCAGATCAGGGTGCTTTGGATTTGCCAGCTTTCCCCTAGGTGGGGAACCTGATGACTGGACACCGGAATTTAAGCCTGGGACTAGGTGAGCAGAATTATTGTCATTAGCCATCTTTGGATCATGACCTGCACCTTGCACAGGGTTGACAGTTGCCTTTCCAACATCTACATTCTGTGCTGCTGTTTTAAGACTATCAGCAGTTACTGGGTGCCTATGGATATAGCCATTGACTTTCCCATTCATTCCAGAAAACATCCCAAGCACTTGAGCATGTGTCATAGGAATGCCTGATCCAAATAACCCTTGCCCGGCATACTGACTCATGGCGTTTGACATAGCAGTAAAGCCATTGATGTTAGAGTGGATTTCTCGGCTGTGGCTGTGTTGCTGCATTGGAGGCGCTGCTGATCCCGTATTGTCCATACCACCACATGACTTGTTGACTCCATTCTCATGCTTGGTTACTTTACTGGGAATTTCAGAGCCCTTATCAAAGCTTGCTGATGTAGAAGCCACTGTTTGAGTTCTAGGTAAATGCTCCTCACCAGTAACATCCCCATTTGAAGACGGTCCAGACTTGTGATGTAGTACATCATTCTTAGATGGCATAATGGGTGGAGCATTGAACTCAGAGGGATTGGTGGATGCGACAGGAGCCCACTGAGAGTTTTGAGGTGGTTCACCATCTACAACCCATCCTGGGCCAAAACTTGTCCCAGGGGGGAGTGCCCTTCTGATACGATTTGCTGCCACATCCCAGCCAACTGGGCCCAATTTTGATGCAAATCGTGCCAAGCTCCTAGCATATGCATGTTGCTGCTGAACCCCTACCTGGTTCAGACAACAAGAAGAAACAAAAAGGACAAGAAATATTAGCACAGCAAGTTCCAGTAAGGATAGATTGAAACAATTTCATTTAAGACAGTAGTTGCAATGATCAACTATAGTTAAGTTGGCAGGTTTTACAAGTCATCCAAAATTCAAAATTTGTGAATTCTTGACAACAAACTGTATCTGATCGGAGTATGCTTACCGGCACCAGTAGTTTCCTCTCATCATCCAGGGCAGCAAACAGAGAGCTATTACGTGAATAGTGCTGATCATATGTACTCCTGCGGTCGTCATCTAGACTAACAACAGGTTTCTTTCCCCACTTGGATGAACCTAAAAAAGGTAGAAGATAATGAAGTCACGTCTGTAAATCAAAAGTCTAGCACTTGTGCAGAACATATGATCAGTTACCAGTTGAAGTAAGCACTAACCTGAATAATCACCGATTTTGTCTGCTCTTTTTGCACTAAAAGAACCAAGCATATTGTGAAAACTGGACGGATCTTTCATCGGGGTATTTGTATTTCGAGTTCTGTCTCCAGTTGACCTTTTTCTTAATGTATCGACATTGTCTTCAGGTTTGTTTGTTTTCACATTGGATAGATCTGGTGACACATCACCCTCCGTCTTGGGATTCTTCGGTGGCCTACCTCTTCGAGCTGGTGGCTTGGGTTCTTCTTCTTCATCGCTGGGTTGCCTCAAGTTCTCAAAATCCTTTTTGGCAAGAGCTTCAATAGATCGTGCCTAGGGAGATTATTGAATACTTTATGTAAGTAGAAGGACAGACGGTAAGAAGACAGTATTGGCAACTTGTCCACAATACAGAAAATGTTAAGGGAAAACAGGATCTGGGCTAACTATGTGCGGATATATTCAGTATAGTACTATAATTTGCATAGGAACAACATATGATGTCTTCTGTAATGATATAATATCTTGTTGGAATTGGAGGACATGCTAAGGAAAAAAACAAATTGAGGTTCAATTTGATATTAGCGTACCCAGTGCAGAGAGCTCCCGCTCTGTGCGGGGTCTGGGGAAGGGTGTCAGTGGCAAGCCTTACCCTCGCCTGTGCAATGCGAGGAGACCGCGACTCGAACCCGGGACCTTCCGGTCACAAGCGGTAAGACTCTACCGCTTGCACCAGGCCCGCCCTTCTTCAATTTGATATTAGCATTCAAATAAATCAGGTAGCCCTTCAATATCCAAGAGTTAATTGCACTAGCAATCAGTTGAACATGTTGTGTTTAACTTATAACATATATGAAGTTCACAGACAGATAATTATAACAAGGAAATAATAAGAACTAAAAGGTGTTTTTTTGCAAAAATATCCCACAAAGCTGAACAAGAGACAGAACAAGTTTCATGTTTAACACCAATTCTGAAGAACAGAGCAACCACAAAACAAACATGGTCCAGATAATACATGTGCATGCAACGACTGACAAGATGGGTTATATAATCTAATAAAAAACAGCACATGCACTTCAAATCAGTACAAAAAATACCTGCCGGAAGTAGATTGTGTCTGCTGAATTGTAAGACATGGCATTTGATGTGAGTAGAAACACATCATCCTGCAAAAGCAGAGAAACATAAGATATCAAGAGAAGATCCGCAGTACTGAAGCACAACACTCCACTATGATTTGCTAGAAAGGTTGCACCCAAATAATCTTGGGTATAATATAATATGTATTTGAAGGAAACTTCCCAGAGTTGCTGTACAAAATTAAACATATCAATTTTAAAAATACAATGCAAGACCCAGCACACTTGATATTCCAAAAAAAAATTCACAACGTGCATTATATTATATTCATATATTCTGCATCAAGAAAATGGAACTCAACAAGGCAATACAGCATTCAGTTCAACCCTATGTCAGTGGATGAAGCTGGGAGCTACAAAGAGCAAATAATTCCATATCCACTTAAGCCCAGATATAAGTAAGATATATGAAATCAAAACATGCAAGAAGTACAGTGCCACTGTGGATTAGAAAAGCTCTTCAGTTACTGATACCTTTTATTTTTTCTATAAGGGATGCCTGTTATTAATGGGGCTGGTTTGAATAGGCATGGTAATCAATTCAGGGGTTATTATTCATAATAATTTGGACAAATTATTCCAGTGAAACTTCAGTCCTACCAGTCTAAGCAACCAGCCTATCTGCATATGTTGGAAGAAAACAAAACCTTGAGCACTGAGTACTCCCAACCATGTATGTCAGGCCAATTATTAACCAATAACTATTATCATCGGGCAGTTTAAGCTGGAGTTTGATAAATTAATACTGTTTTGGATCTGGAATAGGTCAAAATCTTGAAGTTCAATGGAATTCTTTCTCTCAACAATGGTGCAAGACATTCATTAAATCACTAACCCAGGAAGTCTCTACAAGTCTACATCCCATTCCAAAAGGTACCTTTCATTAAGTACATTAACTCATATGGTATGAGCCCACTTTGGTCCCCAGTAAAAACAGAAAGGAATATAGGAAGTAAACAAAGTGATACAGGGGCAGACCCAAGTGATGTTGAGTGAGGGCACAGTTCGCCACTCAAAAATTGCTAGTAGTGGTACATGACAATTTTTCACCATGAGTGCCCCCACACAAATGAATCACAAGGCCCTCACACCCCACCAAATATAAGGCTAACTTGGTAATCATATTTAGTGTGCCTCCGGTCATTTTTTTCCCTAGGTCCGCCCCTGTAGAGACATATTGCATCTCACGTTGCTCAAGAATTTCTTTCAGGTGCATCAAAGCTCAGAAAGCAAAAACTCGCACGTTCTATTAACAGTACCAACAAGCAGTATCAAGTTCACCACATGGGAGTTACGATAGCTAGACAAGAACAATATCTAAACAGTAGTTCATTATACACAGGATTAACTTGGAAAGGTAAAGGTATATTATGGTTGTAAGAAGAAAACAATAGGAATAGGGACATTGTTATATGAGTAAAGTGGACAATAAAACCTGAAAGCAAAGGTGGTGGTAGAAAACTTTTAGTTAAGCCAAAGGATCAAATGAAAGCGGGCAACACAAAAAAGAAACACCAACACAGCCAACAACAATAAAGGAACTGGCAAAAGAAACATCACACAGCATACCTCAAACTGTTCCAACTTAGAATACGAGTCATTCAACAGCTTCTCACGGATTGTTGAGAAGTCCATCGGATGCTCAATGATGTCAAAGTAATCCGGAAGCTGCAGGTACACATAAAAACACCAGCCTTAGCATCTGAGCTCCCATCTGAAAACACGATTGCACTTGAGCTCCATTACTCACCTCCTCTGCGTCGACAGGCTCCGAGTAAACTCCAAAAGTATCCTTCCTGAGAGCAGTGCAAGGCATACAAGTAAGTAAGCACATGTAACCGAAGCAATCTGTGTTATTGGACGAGAATTACATCAGGATGGGGCCAGGGCACTCACTTCTGGAGCCTATCGAGGATGAAGAGTAGCAACTTTTTGTCTGGGAGGGGAGTCCCCGTGGGCCCACCATCCGACGCAGCGTCCCCTGCTCCCACGACCGCAACCAACGTTAACAAACGAAAAATTCAAATCCCTGAACCACTTCAACGCTAATGCGTTGCTTCCCTCCAAGACTTACCTTTCCCCGTCGCTTTCGCTGCATCCTTCTTTCCCTCCCCCGGCTCCTCCTGCAGCATCGAAGAACCGAAACAATAACAATCAGAATAGAAATCCACCACAACAAAAACATTCTTGCATGGAGATTTTCTGCTTATAAGCGCCAGCTATCGCATCATGCAGTGGGGATTGCAGGGAAATTAGTGTCGCAGCAGGCTCCGCAGCAGTCCGCACTGAAAACGGTGACCTTTTTCTGTCGCTCGCCGTCCGGACAGTGCTTACAAACCCATCAGTAGGAGAAAAAGGTCAAAATCCGTCAAAACTTGTCAGATCCGCTTACTGTTCCCTTCCAAGGAAAGGATTAAAGCGCTGACGAGCGAGGAGGGTCAAGATCCCTAGACTGGCCGGACTCAAGAGGGCACCAAAAAGAATTCCAAACCCGCCGAAAAAAGCAACCGCCCTCCCAGAGCTAAAAATCCCCAGACGCAGACGCCACTATCAGAGCTCCACTGATCCCCGCTAGATTCCCCACCACGGAGGCGAGCCGTACCACAAAAACCCCCTAATAAAAATCCCGAACCGCAGATCCAACCACTACAGCTCGGCATCGCCGCGTGTCCCGCGGCCAAAACCCCCTCGGGGAGGTCCCCAAAGCCCGCAATTTTCGAAAAATTGGCGCGAGATAGAGAGGCCCTCGACCTTGACGACGACGCCGGAGAGGACGCTCTTGAGGCGCTTCTGCCGCCTCCGCCCCCCGGTCCCGGTCCCGTCCTCGTCGTCGTCGGAGGGGTTGGGGTCCCGGCGGGTGGGCGAGGGGGCGGGGCTAGGGTTTTGGGCCTGCAGGCGGAGGCTGCGGCGCTGGAGGTCGAGGAGGGACGGGCGGCCCTTCTTCTTGCGCCGCCGCTGCGGGGATGGCGTTTCTTCGGGGGGCGGCGGAGGAGGAGGGGGCGGCGGCGGGGGAGGAGGCTTGCGGGTCTTCGCCATCGGAGGCCGGCAGGCCGCGACAGCGGCGGCGGCGGCGGCGAGGCGGGGACGGGGCAGGAGGTGGTGGTGGTGTGATGGCCTGGGAACGGGTCGGGGTGCGTGTGGCTTTGCGTGCGTTTGGTATTTTTTTTCCTGGGGCCTTTCGGTTTGCGTCGGGCCGCTCGGCTCTTTCAGGGCCCGTTATGTTATGACATGTAGGACCGGTCTATATCTGGCCCCACACGGTAGCGACAGAGGATAAAGGTCTCTGCGTTATTTGAGGTCGGATCGGCCGGCCGCGGGCGCGTTTGGTGCGGTTTGCGTCGGGCCGCTCGGCTCTTTCAGGGCCCGTTATGTTATGACATGTAGGACCGGTCTATATCTGGCCCCACACGGTAGCGACAGAGGATAAAGGTCTCTGCGTTATTTGAGGTCGGATCGGCCGGCCGCGGGCGCGTTTGGTGGGGTGGGACCGGGCACGTGTGTGCCGTGGCCGGACCCGATTGGTGGGTGCCCCAGGGTGGTGTGGGTGGTTGTTTTTTCTTGGAACAGAAGGCCGTGTGACCCACCTGTCAGTGCGACGAGGAGTTTTGTCTCGCTATATTTCCTGCAACTCTTTACGTACATCGCAGTCACTGTTCCGTTTCGTGCCATCTTTGGACTATGAAGGTAGTGCCGTGGTAGCGAGCAACGGTCAGCTATTTCAGAGGGGAAAAAAAAAGCTCTTCTCAAAATAGTGGACTCAAAGGTCTAGATGGGTATCCAAACAATCTCCCTTCTTCTGGCGAAGTCCATAATTTTTACTTTTTATTTTTAATACCGAATTACATGTGTGTAGGTAGGAGCAATTGCCGTTTGTATTAGTACTTGAGAAAAAAAGGGCCTAATGGTTATGGTTAGAATGATATCCTTGCATGATGCATTCTACCTATGGTATGGTATTGTAGACAACTAATGGTGGACTACAGTGGAACGGATACACCATAAAGCTCTTGAATTGATTGGGATATATAGGCCCTGTTTGGTTGAGAACTTTTGAAACTTTTTTTTTGGCTAAAAGCTAAAAAGCCTAACCAAAGGGCTGCTTTTGGAGGATGCTTTTTCGTAAGCAATTGCTTTTAAAGCTTCATTTTGAAAGCTAGGTTGACCTTGCTTTTGGCTTTTGTCTTTCTGCTTTTCGAAATTGGTGGAATAAAAAGCTTTTCTATAGTTGTTTCAAGAGAGATAAAGATAAAAGGTATATTTTATACTTGTTTAACCAAACAACTTTCAAATTTTCTACTCCATTACCCATTTACTTTTTTTCCACAACTCATTTCACAGACTTTTTTTTTCCACAGCCCACAGCTCAACCAAACAGGGCCATAGTCCACGTCCTTAGCTTCTGATCATCTAGGTTTTGGTTGCACTCCTGTTTCTCATGGACGAAGGCTCAGTGACGTCTTTGCAAAGGGTGAGCAATACTCGATTCGGTTCTAGAGTAACTCTTGCAGAATTGTATGAAGGGGCCGAATAAAAGTAGCTCATTTATAGTCTACCTTCATTTATAGCGCATTGAAAAAGATAGCTCACTTATTTGTGAGATCAATGGCATTTATTAGCAAAGGGTAAGGGAGAAAATAAGAAAAAAAAAAGTATTCTAGGGTGAAAATTTTTACCAAGGAAATGGCATGGCTCAGAGCCATTGAGCAAATCGGACACTAAAAAACTCAGAACATCTTCAGCAGTACTATCTAAAACACACTACTTATTTCTCTATTTGGGTAGCCACCTATTTTTATACTATCTATATTTTGCTTCCAACTCCAACACTACAAAATAAAACATGGCTCCTAAATTCATTCCAGAAGTCCATGACATGTGGGACCCATGTGTCATCCTCTTCCTTGTCGCCATCGACAAACTCGGCCATCAACAGCTTGCCGTCAGGGAGGGGAGTTGCCGGAAATAGGTCCAGCCGGGGAGGGGAGTTGCCGGAGCGCCGCCAGGGAGCCGTGCCCAGTCTGGAAGCCACACTAGGGAATCGCCAGGGCCGCGCACAAGGGAACCCCCGGAAGCGTCACCTGGAAGGAAGGCCGGGCGCGAGGCGGAGGAGGGGTGGCGTCGAGGAGGGACTCCGTGGCGAGGGAGGCTCGCAGGAGAGGGACGCCACCGACAGGGAGGACCACCCGCGGGGAGGAGCTCCGCCAGCGTCAGGAGGGGCTCCGCCACCGACGGGGAGGGGTGGCTCCAGCATCGGATAGGGGCGCCGCCGGCGAAGGAGGCACGCGGGTGAGGGGCACCACCGACGGGGAGGAGGCACTGGGGCGAGACGCGCTGCAGGAGAGAGACGCGTCATGGAAGAGAGGAAACAGCCGAAGAAAAATAGGTAGGCAGTTTTGTTGGCCCAACAGATGTAGGTAGGGGGAGGGAGAATTTGTTGGGCCAACAAATTTAGGTAGCCTGATAGGTAGTGTAAGTGCAATCAAGCCCTAATGTGGATTTTGGTGTTGATGACCACCTAATTAGGAACTAATGAGATTTATTAAGATGACAAGCAGGCAATTCATTATAGAGGATGTTACATGGAAAGGAGGAGCGCCCAATTACAAATAAGGACGGCATCGCGCTCAAAGGAGTTTTGAATTTCTTTTGTTTTTTAAAATTGAGTATGGAAAAAGTCGTACTATAAAGGGGGACACTACAACTGGTTAAAAGTGTGCAATCAAATGCTCAATCTTTACACAAATCATCCTTACACCTCAGCCAAGACAGCCAACTTAACAACTCCTTCACCCTTGCTGTCTTGCTGGGTGCGGCAGTGCCGCATCTAGAGAGAGGCACTACCGCACTTAAGTAACCGTCGGGAGCCAAGGGTATTTATACTTTTCTCTATCCTCCATAACGTCTCTCTTCTTCCCAACGGTTTAGACCGACGATAGTGCGCAGCGTGCAAGCAGTTTCGGCCCAAGTTGCATAGTAACTTTTTTTGTTTTGTTTTTAAATTTTCAGAAGCAAATTTTGATGATTTTTTACTAGTTTAAATCTCTGTCAAAATTTGAACCAACGAGATAATTTGTTCAGAAAGTAGATGAATGCTTCTGAAAAGTAGATAAATAATTTTTTCCATGTTTCTGTTGCAATGTTAAAGTTTATTATCTTCTAATTAAATTCGAACCAATGGGAGAATGTAATTTGAAGAGCAGTTGAATTTTATTCAGTAAATTATAATATTGTTATTTTTTTACCAACGTTGATAATAGCAATATCATAATGATTATTCATAAGTTTTTTTATGCATTAATTCTATTTCCGCCCAACGGTGATGTAGAATTAGTGTATAAGAAAGTTGTATGTTTTAATTTTGACCAACGTTAAATTAACGCATGCAATTATTATTATGTCATGGTTTTTTTCATTATCTCTTATGGTGTTTTTCAAGACTCAATCATATGGCATTTATCTCGTATATTCCACCTCTTGAAGGGGGCAATTACAGAGTATGGCGAGAGAAGTATGAGCTCGCACTTGCGCTGTCCGAGAATGACTTAGCACTTACCTCTCCATGTCCTACTGAGCCAGAGGACCCGGTGAGGGCAGAAAATGAGACTGATGCTGATTTCAATGTTCGAAAGTGAGATCATGCAGAAGTTAGAATGAAATACGATCTTGATCGAAAGAAATGGGGCATCTCGAACCGCAAGTGCTTGATGGTGGCCAAGTCCACTATCTCAGATGCTATAAAGGGATCAATCCCAGATTGTGATACCGCCACCGAGTATCTTAAGAAAGTGGAGAGTCAGTTTACTAGCTCTTCAAAGGCTTATGTAGGCACCTTGATAAAGAAATTATTCAATGAGAAATACTCTGGTGAAGATATAAGAGAACACATATTGAAGATGAGCAACACGGCACCAAGCTCAAGCCAATGGATTTGGGGTTCAAAGATAAGTTTCTGATTCATTTGGTTTTTGCTTTCTTACCGAAAGAGTATGAAACTTTTGTTAACTACAACATGCAGCCTGATAAGTGGGATATTGAGAAGCTCATTGTAATGTGTGTGCAAGAGGAGGAGAGGCTTAAAGCTCATAGGGTGACTCTGTAAACCTTGTGAAGAACAATAAAATAAAGAATTTTAATGCCAAACCTCATAGGAAAGCCCCTCAGATTGATCACCAGCAGAAGAACAACAATGTACAAGTTAACAAGGATCAATGCAAATGGTGCAAGAAGCACGGACATTACCAGAAAGACTGTCCAGAGTTCCTAAAGAACCTTCTAAAGAAAGGTGAGGACATTATTACATTCATAGGTGAGTCCTTGTATTTAAGTTATTCAAAATCTACTTGGTGGATTGACTCAGGTGCACTATTCATGTTGCAAATTTATTATAGGGATTCCATACGAGGAGGACCCTGCAAATAGGAGAAAGAAGAATTAAAGTAGCAAATGGAGTTGAAACTGAAGTTGAAGCCATTAGAGATCTCTCTCTAGAATTAGTTGATGGTTTTGTACTTAAGCTTTTAGATGTTCTATTTGTACCATCTTTGCGAAGAAAATAAGTGTTTCACGTTTAGATGACAATGGATATGATTGCCATTTTGGTAATGGCAAATGTCAAATTGTTTATAATAATAAATATGTTGGTTTTGCCTTTCGACAAGACAAGCTTTATTTATTATCACTTTCTGATAATGTGAATGATGTAAGTACTGAGAATGAGAATGCCTCTTCTTCTATGAATGTAAGTAATAAGCAGAAGAGAGTTCATGTTGTATCATCGAAATTATGGCACTATCGTTTATGCCATATTTCGAGGGGGGAATAGAGCGATTGATTAAGAAATCTATTCTCCTGCCTTTAGAATTTTTAGATTTAGAGCAATGCATTGATTGCATAAAAGGAAAGTACGTTTAGAAAATAAAGAAAGATGCCAAACGAAGCGTAGGAATTTTAGAAATAGTTCACACAGACATATGTGGTCCTTTTCCTATGAAGAGTCTAGATAGTTATGATTCATTTATAACATTCACAGATAATTA